AGGTGAGCAAGCAACATTTTTCTCTCTCAGACTCCTCCCCAACGTACAGCACCACAGTGCAGCAATGAGGGTTGCCCCACCCTGGTGAATACTTAAGGCTCCACCCCATACTATGTGACAGGTTTGCTGAGACAAAAAAAATACAGTCCAAATGAAAGAACAGATCAAAGCTCCAAAAAAAATGCAACTAAGCAACAAAGAGATAGCCAACATAATCAGATTCACAGGTCAAAACACTGGTAATCAGGATGCTCACAGACTCAATTGAATATGGTCACAAGTACAGGAAAAACAAAGGATACGCTAAGTGAAGTAAAGAAAAATGTACAGGGAACCAGCAGTAAGGGGAATAAAACCCAGACTCAAATCAACAGTTTGGACCAGACAAAATAAATAAACATTCAACCAGAACAGAAAGAAGAAACAAGAATTCAAAAAAAACGAGGAGCGGCTTAAAAACCTCCAGGACAACTTTAAGCGTTCCAACATCCAAATCATAGGGGTGCCAGAGGGAGAAGAGGAAGAGCAAGAAATTGAAAAGTTATTTGAAAAAATAATGGAGAAATTCCCTAATCTGTCAAAGGAAATAAGACTTCCAGGAAGTCCAGGAAGTTCAGAGCATCCCAAACAAGTTGGACCCAAAGAAGCACATGCCAAGGCACATCATAATTATATTATCCAAGATGTAAGATAAGGAGAGAATCTTAAAAGCAGAAAGAGAAAAGGAGACAATTACCTACAAAGGAGTTCCCTTAAGGCTATCAGCTGATTACTCAAAAGAAACCTCATAGGCAAGAGGGGCTGAAGAGAAGTATTCAAAGTCATGAAATCAAGGACCTACATCCAAGATTACTCTAGTCAGCAAAGCTTTCATTTAGAATGGAAGGGCAAATAAAGTGCTTCCCAGGTAAAGTCAAGTTCAAGGAGTTCATCATCACCAAGCCCTTATTATATGAAATCCAAAGGGATTTATCTAAGAAAAAAGATCAAAACTATGAACAATAACATGACAACAAACTAACAACATCAATAACCACACCTAAAACAAAAACAAAAAATTAACTAAGCAAACAAGTAGATCAGGAACAGATTCACATAAATAGAGATCACATAGAGGGTTGTCAATGGAGAGGGGGAGGGGAGAATGGAGAAAAAGGTACAGGGAATAAGAAGCATAATTGGTAAGTACAAAACAGATGGGGTGAGGTTGAGAATAGTATGGGAAATGGAGAAGCCAAATAATATATATGTATGACCCATGGACATGAACTAAGGTGGGGGAATGCTGTTGGGAGGGGAGTACAGGACAGAGGGGAATAAAGGGGAGAAAAACATGGGACAACTGTAATACCATAATCAATAAAATATACCTTTTTTAAAAAAGAAGAAAAAAGTTGGAAATATCACATTCCCTGATTTCAAACTATACTACAAAACTATAATAATCAAAAGAGTATATGATACTGGCACAAACACACACATAGATTAACGGAATATACTAGAGAGTACAGAAAGTAACCTTATTTATATGGTCAATTAATCTATGACAAAGGAAACAACGGTATACAGTGCGGGAATGAGAGTCTCTTCTACAAGTGGTGCTGGGAAAACTGGACTGGTATATATATATATTTTAAATGAAAGTGGACTGATCTCTTATATCATGCACCAAATTAAACTCAAAATGGATTAAAGACTTAACATAAGACCTGAAACTGTAAAACTTCTTGAAGAAAAAATAGGTAGTAAACTATTTGACATCAGTCTTAATAATTTAAGCATATGTCCCCTCAAGTAAGGTAAGGAAAAGCAAAAATAAACAGATGGTACTTCATCAAACTAAAAAGCTTCTGCACAGTGAAGAAAACCATCAACAAAACAAAAAGGGCAACCTACTGAGTGGGAAATTATATTTGCAAATGGTATATCCAATGAAGATCTATACCCAAAATATATAAAGAACTCATACAATTCAATAACAAGAAATAACCCAATAAAAAATGGGCAGAGGACATTTTTCAAAAAAAACACATACAGAAATACAAAAAAATGCTCAACATTACTAATCATCAGGGAAGTGCAAGTGAAAACCACAATGAGGTACCACCTCATACCTATCAGAATGGCTATTATCCAGAACTTCCAGCCAAGATGGAGGTGTAGGTAGACATGCTGTGCCTCCTCACACAACCAAAATAAGGACAACAAAAATTCAGAAATAAAATAACAACCAGAACTGACAGAAAATTGAACTGTATGGAAGTCAGACAGCCAAGGAGCTGAAATAGACACATTCATCCAGACTGGTAGGTGGGGTGGAGTCAGGCGGCCGAGTGTGGACAGGTTGCAGCACAGGAAGCGGTGACACCAGGTGTGCAGGATGCAGCTGGTAGACCCTGGGCATGGGGTGGCAACAGGCAGACCCAGCGAGGTGGCGATTGAGAAGTGGGGCACCGTGCACAAGGTGGCTGGTTGACCAGATGATGGTCCCACAATCGTGCACAGATAACTGAGGAGTGAGACAGACTGCACCATCCAGGGTCCCAGCACCAGAAAATAAAGTCTCAAAACACTGATTGCAAATACCTGTGGGGGTTGAGGTGCAGGGAGAGACTCCCAGCCTCACAGGAGAGTTCATTGGAGAGACCCACAGGGTCCTAGAATGTACACAAGTGCACGCACATGGGAATCAGCACCAGAAAGGCCCAGTTTGCTTGGCGGAAGTGGTGGAAGAGACTGAGGTCCGACAGACAGCTGTGCAAGCACCATTATTCTTTCTCGAACCCCGCTCCCACATAGAGTGTCACAATCCAGCCACTGGGTTACCCTGCCATGATGAACACCTAAGGCTCCACCCCTTACTACACAACAGGCACATGGAGTAAAAAAAAAAAAATGGCCCAAATGAAAGAACACATCAAAGCTCCAGAAATAATAAAATACAATTAAGTGACCAAGAGATAGCCAACCTATCAGATACAAAGTTCAGAGCACTGGTGATCAGAATGCTCACAGAACTGGTTGATTTTAGTCACAAATTAGATGAAAAAATGAAGGCTACACTAAGTGAAATGAAGCAAAATACACAGGGAACCAATAATGATGGGAAGAAAACTGGAACTCAGATCAATGGAGTGGACTAGAAGGAAGAAACAAAGGACCAAACAGAAAAGAATGAAGAAACAAGAATTCAAAAAATGAGGAGAGGCTTAGGAACCTCTAGGACATCTTTAACTATTCCAACATCTGAATTATAGGGCTACCAGAAGGGGAAGAGGAAGAGCAACAAGTGGAAAACTTAATTCAACAAATAATAGAAGAGAACTTCCCCAAGCTGGCAAAGGAACTAGATTTCCAGGAAGCTCAGAGAGTTCCAAAGAAGTTGGACCCAAGAAGGAACACACCAAGGCACATCATAATTACGTTAGCCAAAACTCAAATGAAGGAGAGAATCCTAGAAACAGCAAGAGATAAGGAGAGTTACCTACAAAGTTCCCATCAGACTATCAGCTGATTTCTCAAAAGAGACCTTATAGGCAAGAAGAACCTGGAAACAAATATTCCAAGTCATGAAAGACAAGGACCTACATCCAAGATTGCTGTATTCAGAAAAGCTTTCATTTAGAATGGAAAGGCAGATAAAGAGCTTCTCAGATAAGGTCAGGGTTCAAGGAGTTCATCATCACCAAACCCTTATTATATGAAATGTTAAAAGGACTTATCTAAGAAAAAGAAGATAAAAAATGTGAACAGTAAAATGACAGCAAACTCACAGTTATTCACAACCACATCTAAAAAACCAAGGAAATAAGTAGAACAGGAACAAATCCACAGAAATGGAGATCACATGGAGGGTTACCAACAGGGGAGTGAGAGAAGGAAAGGGGGTGAAAGGTACAGAGAATAAGTAGCATAGATGGTAGGTAGAAAATAGACATGGGGAGGGCAGGAATAGTATGGAAAATGTAAAAGCTAAAGAACTTAAGACACATGGACATGAACTAAGGGGGGAAATATGGGTGGGAGAGTGTTGCAGACTCTCTCCAGCAGAGTCCACCTGTTGTGGTTAATGATGAGAATCAATGCACAGGTGACAACAATCCTGTGTGGGAAAAGGGAACAGGCACGACTACTCTCTCAAGGGGAGAGTGCCTATGGTGTCTCAGGCACTCCCTCAAGAGGGGAGCACCCCGACCCTTGCCTAGACAGGCTTTTATTGTTTCCCTTGGGCCTTACACCATAGAAAGATTTACTATCTATCATATAGAATATTATTGTCTACATTTTAGGTGCAATCAAGGAAATAAAAATAACATGCAAAGGGGAATGGCGATGAGCTCATTAGCTCTGTCCTTGGAAGAACTCGTACAGGCTTTGGATATTACCTTGAACATAGACAATACACATTTGTTGTTTTAGACCAGGGTGGTGGAGTTTTAGCAAGAGCAAGCTATAACAATCTGTAAGCATTTTCTAGGCCTGATTCCCATGGGAAAACTCGGTTGGAATGTCTGGCTCCTGCCCACCACTTCACATCTGTAGGTTTTCCATACAGAGCTGAGTCACATTTGCCAGGCCAAGACAAACTGGTCCCCTACAGGAGAGGGTGTTCAGGGTGGAGGGGAATGAAGGGGGGAAATGGGACAACCGTAATAGCATAATCAATAAAATATATTTTAAAAATGAACGGCTATTATCCAAAGGTCAACAAAGAAGTGTTGGTAACGATGTAGAGAAAAGGGAATCCTCATGCACTGTCGGTGGGAATGTAGGTTGATGTAGCCACTGTGGAAAACGGTATGGAGATATCTCAAAAAACTAAAAATAGAACTGCCATATGATACAGCAATTTCACTTTTGTTTATCCAAGTTAAGTGAAAACACTAATTTGAAAAGATATACGCACCCCTGTGTCCACTGCATATTAAGTATAACAACTAAAATACAGAAGCAATCTAGATGTCCATTGATAAATGAATGGATAAAGAAAATGATGTTTATTCCAAAGTGTTGAGTTCAATTCAAGGCAGCTTTCTTGTTCTGTTAATTAAAACTTCGAGACATTGAAGCACAGGCTAGGGGAGATGGTTGAATAGAAAGCATTGCTCTATTCCAAGTTCCAGCCAAGACTGAGGAATAGGTAAACATGCTTTGCCTCTATGCACAACTACATCAAAAAATTACAACTAAACTACAAAACAAATTTCGCCCAAATTCATCAGAAAACAGCTGTATGGAAGTCCAACAATGAAGAACTTAAAGAAGCCACATTCATCATTCATCCAGATGGGTAGAAGGGGCAGAGACGCATGGAGAGACAGCAGAACAGGCAGTCCCACATGCATGTGTGGCGGGTAAAAATCCAGAGAGATACTTTGGTAGTAAGCAATCCCAGCCCCTAATCAGACCACCCATCCCAGGGTTCCAGCATCAGGAAAATAATTCTCCATAACTTCTGGCTGCAAAAACCAGTGGGGATTGGGGCATCAGAAGAAACTGCAGGATTCTCAAGAGACTTCTCTTAAAGGGCTCACAATGGATTTAGGACTCACACAGACCCACACCCTCTGGGATTCAGCACTAGGGCAATAGCTGGGAAGGCACAAGTGGCATACTGGGGAAAAAGAGAAAGTGAAGTGACTAGCCTGGGTGCAAGTGCCAGGGAGACAGCTTCCTCTCAGACAATCTCCAGAGGACAGGCAGCAGCATTGTCCCCTCTTTGAGCACTCCCCCACAGCCACAAAGTGTTGAGATGGGTCACCTTACCCTGGTGATTACCTGATGTCCATCTCACAGAATTTACAGGTGCCTTTTTACAATAGGCCATGCTACTAAGACAGGTAGTAAAAGCAGCTCTACCTAATACACACAAACAGACAGAAGGAGGATGCCAAATTGAGGAAATAAAGAAATATGGTCCAAATGAAAGAACAGAACAGAACAAAACCCCAGAAAAAGAACCAAATGAAACAGAGATAACCAACCTATCAGATGCAGGGTTGAAAATACTAGTGATCAGGATGCTCAAACAACTCACTGGGTACTGTAACAACATAAAAAAGACCCAAGCATAAATGAAGGCTGCATTAAATGAAAAAAAAGAAAAATCCACAGGGAACCAACAGTGGAGGATATTAAAATCAATGATTTGGAACATAAAGAAAAAAGCGTTCTATTAGAACAGCAAGAAGAAAAAAGTTCAAAACAAAACAGAACAACAACAACAACAAAACTAGGAGAGAATAAGGAGTCTCTGGGACAACTCCAAACGTGCCAATATCCAAATCATAGGGATGCCAGAAGGAGAAGATGAAGAGCAAGAAATTGAAAACTTATTTCAAAAAATAATGAAAGAAAACTTCCCTAATTTAGTGAAGGAAATAGACATACAAGTCTAGGAAGCGCAGAGTCCCAAACTAGTTGGACCCAAAGAGGATCACACCAAGACACATCATAATTAAAATGCCAATGGTTAAAGATAAACAGAGAATCTTAAAAGCAGCCAGAGAAAAGCAGACAGTTACCTATGGAGGAGTTCCCATAGAACTGACAGCTGATTTTCTCAAAAGGTACTTTGTAGGCAAGAAGGGACTGGCAAGAAGTATTCAAAATGATGAAAAGCAAGGCACTACAAAGCTGGATTACTTTATCCAGCAAAGCTATCATTCAGAATGGAAGGACAGATAAAGTGCTTTCCAGACCAGGTAAAGCTAAAGGAGTTCATCACCACCAGGCCATTACTACATGAAATGTCAAAGGGAACTACATATATAAGAAAAAGAAGATCAAAACTATGAACATTAAAATGGCAATAAATGCACAACTATCAACAATTGAATTTAAAAAACAAGCTAAGCAAACAAACAGAACAGGAACAGAATCATAGATATGGAGAACATTTTGAGGTTTATCAGCTGGTAGAGGGGAGTGAGAGAATGGGGAAAAAGGTTCAGTGATTAAGAAGTACAAATTGGTAGGTACAAAATAGACAAAGGGATGCTAAGAACAGTATAGGAAATGGAGAAACCAAAGAACTTATATGTATGATTCATGGCCATGAACTAAAAGAGGAGATTGCTGGAGGGAATGGGGGTACCAGGTCAAGGGGGCAAATGGGAAAATTGGGACAACTGTAACAGCATAATCAATAAAGTATATTTTTAATTTTTTTAAAAAAAGAAAGCATTGCTCTCTTCATTTACCTCTGGGCCTATGGTGGGGTTAGGGGAGAAAGGGTGTATATATAGTCAATGAAATATTACTCAGCAATAAAAAGGATAAAATCTTGCCATTTGGGACATGGATGGACCTAGAGGGTATTATGTTAAGTAAACGGAGTCAGACAAAGAATGATAAATACTGTATGGTTTTGTTTATATGTGTAACCTAAAAAACCACAAAAACCAAAGCAAATGATCAAACAAAATAAAAACAGACTCATAGAAAGAGAGATTCAACTGATGGTTGCCCAGAGTAGGGGAGGGGATGGATGAGAAAGGGGGATATAGTCAATAAGACTGTGATAAGTGTGCATAGTGACAGAATCACTAGACTTCGTGTGGTAATAACATTGTAAGGAATGAAAATGCCAAGTCACTTAATTGTACACCTAAAACTAATATAATATTGTATACCAACTATATTTTTAAAAAGAAAAGAAATGAGGGGACCAGAGGGACATTTGGATATTCAGGAAGAAATGAAGATCATCAGAAGTGGCAATTTTCTTGTGGTACATATACACAATGGAATTCTATGCAGCAGAGAGAAAGAAGGAGCTACTACCCTTTGCAACAACATGGATGGAACTGGAAAGCATTATGCTGAGTGAAATAGGCCAGGCATTGAAGGACAAATACCATATGATCTCACCTTTGACAGGAAGCTAAACAATAAAACAAACAAGCAAACAGAATAAAAACAAAGACACTGAAATAGATAACAAGTGGGCAGTGACCAGAGGGGAGAGGGAAGGGAATTTAAGGGGAAAAATGGGGAGGGATTTTGAGGAACAAGTATGAAGGACACAGGGATGAGGACTGGGGAGAGGGCGGAAAAGGGAGGGAGGTGGGGAGACCGGGCAGGGGGGGCTGGGATGGGAGAAATAGACAAAAAACTGTATTTGAAAAATAATTAAATAAAAATTTAAAAAAAAAGTGGCAATTTTCTGGATAAGCGTAAAAGTTTATTTTTCTCTTAATATACTTAAAATACATATGACTATTTAAACCAAAAATTATAACAATCATAAAATTGTCTTCAGAGGTACCGTAAAGCAAATGTCTGTGTCCCACCTAAATTCACATGTTGAAACCTACCCCACAACGTGATGAAGTTTGGAAGTAAGGCATTTAGGAGATGACTGGGACATGGAGCAGAGCCCTCATATGTGGGATTAGTGCCCTCATAAAAGGACCACAAAGCACTCTCTCCCACTTCTGCCATATGAGGACAGAGAAGAGGTTGTCCATGAATCAGGAAGTGGGCCCCCACCAGATACCGAAATGTTGCTGCCTTTGGACTTCCCAGCCTCCAGAACTGTGATACATAAATTTCTCACAGTTGTTTTTAAACTATCCTATTTATGGTATTCTGTTATAGCAGCTAAACAGATAAAGAAAAGGGGGTTATAATATATAGAGATATAATACATATGACACAAGGCACAGGAAGGAGCAGTCAGTGCACTTGTAAGTGTTATGAGAACTCATAAACTTACAAGTGTTATGAGAGTTCCATGTTTTATGTAAAGTGGTACAATATTAAATTTCAGTAGGTTATAAAAGATAAGGATTGATATTGTAACCCCTAGCAGACACTAATAAAAATGCAAAGCAGCATAGCTAAAAAGTCAATGGATAACTTAAAATATAATTATAAAAATAATGCAGAATAAGGCAGGAAAGAGAGAAAAGAGAAACAAAAATCAGAGAGAACAAACAAAAATCAAATAACAGAATGATTAACTACAGGCCCAAATAGAAAATATCAGTAATTCCATCAAATGCTCCTGGACTAGGGGACTTCCGTTCCCGCCCCCCCCAGATGGTGATCCAGGGACACATTTGGCCTCCTGCTGTGAACAACCACCATCACCAGACACAATATAAGAAACAATGGTTTCCAAAGACTGGAACCAGGAAGTGCAGAAGTGCAGAGCGGTGCTCCCTGATAGAAAGGAAACAAAGTTTATGTGCCCTGACTGTCATAGCTTCCAAGCTGGAGAGCACCCGAGAATCCAGCACAAGGAGGGAGAACCAGAGCAGGGCCCCTGGGGCTTTCCCCATTTTAACTCTGACAGTCTAGGTATGGGGGATCCCTCTGTCCTGGGCAAGCGTAAAAGGTTGGCTACTCAACCCATCAGAGAACAATAACATCCCTGAGCTGGGGATGTGGGGATATAAAGTTGTCTAGAATTCACAGGACAGACCACCAGGAAAGAGAGGAGCTGCAGAGAGAGTGTTCCAGAAGTCTGCAAGTGATCCCCTCAAGTCTTCAGCTTACTGGACAGTGTAGGCATGTCAGTAAACCTAAGGCAAGAGAAATAACTGCCAGAAAGGAGCAGGTAAAATATTCCCAGAGTTAGCCTAGGGCTGAAAAGAGTTCCTATTCCCACCTGCAAGAGCCAAGAAAGCTAATGATGCACAGGCACCAAGGAGAGCACTCAGAGGGGTGCGGAGCCCACATGCGGGCAGAGCAGCCCTAGAATAAGGCTGATCTGGTCATTCTTGTACAGCATGAAGGCCTGAAAGGATCAAACTGCTTCCAGTAACTTAACCATGATCCAAAACAAAAGGAAAAGATATTTAAGGAATACAAATATAAGGGGCGGGGGGAGGAAAGTGGGAAAAAAGCAACCAAGCAAGGTAAAAGTCACAATGTTTGGCATTCAATCAAAAATTGCCAAGTATGAGAAGAAGCTGAAAAATACAACCCATAATAAAGAGAAAGATCAACAGTGAAAACAGACCCCAAAATAAAACACACAATAGATTTAAAAGACAAGAACATTACAAGAGCTTCTGTAAATACATTCTATATGTTCAAGAAAGTAGAGGAAAGACTGAGAATGGTAGGTAGAAATATGGAAGATATCAAAAGATGAACAAAGAAAATAGACTATTAGTGAGCT